ATATAGCACACAGCACAAGGCCTTAACACATAGAAGGTGCTACTTAAATGTCTATTCCTTCTCTGAAAGACAAAGTTACATATCGATATGGATTTTATATATATATATAAAATATTATATTATATTATATTATATTATATTATATATAAATATATATATAGTGTGTGTGTGTGTGTGTGTGTGTAAGCCTCTGCAGATAGTTCTTCTGTAACCTGCAGCCATGCAACAGATATACTAAGGATTTCAGGGAGCAGCCTTACTCTAGCATTTCCTGGCTGTGGATGCCACAATAGTTACTAGAAAAATCCTCAGCCTCTACATACTGTTCCTCCTCTATATTTTCATCAGTTTTCATTACCTACTGTCAGTAGTTCTATTACCTACTAAAATGTTTTTAAAGATTATTACTGCTAATAAGCTAAGTCAGTTTGCAAGGAAACCAATCTAAAGAGGACTTTAAATGAATGGACTCCTACGCTGATTCACCTTAAAGGGGCATTAGAGTAGATTCATGCAACACCACTTAAGAAAAGCCCAGGCAGATGAAATAGCCCCATCAAACTAGCCCTATTATCCTCTTGCAAAATGATGGCTAGAGAAGCTCCTGATAGCTCTCCATGATGAATAGCATTTGTTGCAAGCAGGATGGACAATACATGCGGAGACAAGCTAAGGGAAGAGTCACAAGGAACACTGCCCCATTTTAATGTCATTAAGACCACAGAAACCTACAATAACAAATATTAATTGCAAAATAGGGAATGAAATCCCAATAGTAAATTTTAACATCCTAATTCCACAATTAATTAGCATTCTGATTTTAGGCAAGTTTTTTAAATGAAGTCAGTTTCCTCCTGATTTAAAAGAAGGTACTAATACCTGCCTTAAAGTCTTGTTTTAAACAGTATTGCTTCAGTGGTATTCTTGCCAAAATCCATAACCTAATTGTGAGAAAACATCAGACAAACTCAAATTGAGAGACATTCTAGTAAATAATTAATCAATTCTCTTCAAAAGTGCCAAGGTCATGAAAAACTGAGGAAGTGCCATGACAACTAAATGCAACATGGGGTCCTGGATTTGACCCCAGACCAGTAACAGATTAGTGGAAAAACTGGTGAAATTTGAAATAGGTCTTTATCTAATATTAAACCAAATTTATTTCTTGGCTTTGATCATCATATTATGATTATGTAAAAGCGAGCTTGGTGAAGGATGTATAGGAATTCAATGTACTAATTCTGCAACTTTGTAAATCTGAAGTTATTTTCAAATTTTAAAAAGTTAAAAAGAGAACAATTGTCTGAAAAGCCCAGTCATGAGAACTGAATACAAGAACATTTAATACGTTGCCTATTTTTTTTTTTTAAGCATGATCCCTTCATCTACTGGCTAAGCTTGGTGGCCATTAACATTAAGAACAGTATGTTAATACTGGCCACACCCAGGTTTTGGTGTGCTAACAGTGAAGTGTGTTGTTCAACTGCAACAAAATGTGGACATTTTATACTGAATGATTACAAATATTCTTGCCAAAGTCTACTAACCATCAATATTTCACTCTTGGTAAAACACTATCATAAGTTAGTGCTTCAAGAAGTGTGGATTCTCTGTTTGGACAATGATGACAGGCTTAAATTTACCTAATGCCATCAGTATTTAAACGGAGCATGTCAAATCTTCATTCCTCTGACTCTCTGACTACTCTCATTTTGTCAAACTTCAACAGTTTTTTGTGAGGTAACACCTGGCAAAATAAACCGATTTCACATAAATTGTAGACAGCTCACAATGAGTATGGCTTGAAACACTGTTATTCCTGGTTTCTACTTTTTTATTTTAAAGTTGAGTCTATCTCTAGACTGCTTCTCTAGCCTTGAGGGGCAAATGCCAACCTTTCAGATAACTAAAGGTCTTCAATGCCAATCTTTTTACTTAAGATTTTGCTTTTTTAAGGAAACGTTAAAACAGCCTAGGAATCACAATTTTTATCAGTCCTAGTTTCCAACACAGTACTGCTATGGCTCACCCACTTTTGCCTCTCACCTCAGGGAATAACTGCATAATCAAAGTAGTAATAAGCAACTTGGCTATTTCTTAGTTTTTAACAGAAGCATCCATCTGATAAAAATATATTTTCTATTAGATTATATATACTCTTGAAAAATAATTTTTGTTTTCTATAAAGGTTATGAGATATCATAAAAATGTCTAATGCATCTGGTTTAAGAATCCAATTCTTCCTTCACATATTTCTGCATCTGTTCACAAAAATCGCTTTGACTTCAAAGGATGCTTTTCAAGAGAAAAAGAATACATACAGGAAAAGTGCCCATAAATTCTAGTAGTCTTTTTCTAAGGCTATTTTAATAACAGCACTGTGGGACAAGTATCTCTTTAGGTCTTTAGAGATCTAAAATATCACAGATGATATTAATGACTATGCATTTATATGGGGATTTATGCTTTAACACTTTATTCTGGGTCTGAAAGTGATATATCTTCAATTTAAAACATGCGAAAAATACAGAAAGCTTAAAGAAGAAAACATAAGTCACTTCTAATTCACTCTTCAGGAAGACCAAAGCAAAACAAAAAGTTAAGACTGGTTGTTTCCTTCCAGTCTTTTTGTGTGTGCATATGTTTATGCAAATAATTATTTACAAACAATATTATAATTACATCATGAAAACAATTTTGTATCTTTTCTCAGTTGGGCTTTCAAAAGACTATATTCATCTTTCAAACCATCATATTAAATGACTGAAAATTACATGTAGATTTATACTTTAAAAGAAACGCTCTCGCTTACATTTAATTCTTATTCTACTCAAAGATAAATCAGTGTCTGGAAACACTAATCTGTTCTGGAAATTTTATATTTTGAAACAATCTAGATGAACAGTTGATTAACTTTAAGATAGCCATATTCATTAATTCCACTGAAACAATAACAGAGGTTTAAGAAATTTTTTCTTTAGAGGATCCCTGGGTGGCTCAGCGGTTTAGCGCCTGCCTTCAGCCCAGGGCATGATCCTTCCTGGGGTCCCGGGATCAGGTCCCACATCAGGCTCCCTGCATGGAGCCTGCTTCTCCCTCTGCCTGTGTCTCTGCCTCTCTCTCTCTCTCTCTCTCTCTCTCTCTCTCTCTCGAATACATAAAATCTTTAAAAAAAAAAAAGAATTTTCTTTAGCATTTAAAATAATTTAGTTCCCTAAAATTCCCTGGGCAATCATTAGTGGGCTCTAAGTTGTTTTCCTTTTCTCCTTGATTTTCTATTTCTCATGACATCCTCACCTCTTGGGTTTGGAAAGAGAGGAAGTTCGGGGTCTAAGGTTTAGTTACTTTGGTATCACAGGTTTTAATATGCTATTAGCTAGCTATAAAATAGTAATCAACCAATTTTGGTTCTGCAGAATCAAACCCTCAAACTTGAAAGAGAGGGATATTTAATGGACTTATCTAATTTTATAACCTAACACTGCTGCCCGAAACTTTTGAAGTAGCCGTTTTGTTGACAAAGAGCGCTCTGGCATATCTTTTATCCTTAAAAAATCTTGTGAGGCCCATATCAATGAAAAAAACTTAGGCACAGAACAATTAGGTAATTTATGAGATGACTGGAAAAGACAAGTTGAACTCAAATCTTGGTTTTTAAAATTAATCTCATTGCTTTACTTTGGCTTCATAATCATGGAGCCACAGATTTTCCAAAGATTGAAAGAACATTAATGTGTCAATCAGTCCAACCCTTCCTCCACCCACTTTGCTAAAGAAAATAAACCCAGTGAGATTGACTTGTCATGTCACACAGCTATCAAGTGGCAGTCAAATCTCCTGATCTTTGATTCCCTAATTTCAAGTTTAGTGCTCCTCCCAATATACCAATTACCTACCACACAAAATCCGCACACCTATGCATTTTGACCATGAATACGCAAGGATGCCAAGAATTCACCTAATGGTCACAAAATCTCAAGTTTCTTTCTAGTTCTCTGAAGATATGTCCCAAGAGATGTACAGCAAAGTGCCTGCCACCAAGATCGCACTTGGAAGACATTTAGTAAATGTCTGAATGAGTGAAGTAAATATCGAACGAATGAATGAATGGGGATATTTATACATATTTATATACAATTTATAATAAATCTATAATTTATAATATAAATATATATACATACACGTATATACACATATATACGTATATATACATATATACATATATACATATATACACATATATACGTATATACATATATGTGTATATGTATAATATATATGTATATACGTATATATTTCCCCCATGAGAGTAAAATCCTAAATGCGGAGAGGGTGGGTTGAAGCCGGCGTCCATGCGCTCTACCCGGTACAGCAATGGTGACCGCAGCGCTGCCAGGCGCAGCTCAGGACGACGCCCTTTGGCGACCTGCTGTAACCCCTTCAGAGCCTGCTCGAGGCAGGTGTACTTTGGAGAATGGGGACCCAGAGTGAAAGATGCACTGACACCTCACACTGAAGGGCCGCGCTGCCGGGAGGGCGTCAAGTGGCTGCTCCGACTTTAATCGCCCAACTCCGCACAAGGCCGCTTCTCTAATCTCTCCGCTGGCCCCTCAGAACGGAGGGGTGAACAGTAACGGGACCACGAGAAGGCGGGCAGCCGAGGAAGGACCGGCCCTAAGGTCTGGGGACTTCACGCCGGACTCGGCGCCCGGCGTCGCCCGGCAACAGCGGCGGTACCAAGCTCTCCCCGGGAAAGAGGCGGAACGCTAGTGCGCGAGCGAAGGCGCGTCCCTCCCACCAGGGCGCGTGACGTCATCGCGCATCCCCGCAGCGTCGCCACGTCCGTCCCGAGCAGGAAGGCAGTCTTCGACGAGCCGGCCTTACGAAGGGGCTCGGTATTCTCCAGAGGAGACGGGAGGAGAGAAGCCAGTGGAGGGAGGGGAGACGAGAAGGACCTAGCAGGATGGGAAGCTGGCGGGAGGAAGGCCACCTGTGGTTACCTGGGGAGGATGAGCAGCTCCGGGTCCTTTATGAAGTGCCCGGATGAAGCTCCAGCACCCACGCGCCTTCCGTACTGAGCGCAACGCCATCTTGAAGGGGGCGGAGCCGCATTGACTTGAGTGACGTCTGCCCGGAGAGCCGGTCCCGGAACGGCCGCTGCTGTGCCTGCTGCGGAAGCGCGGCTGCCTCCCGGGCGCGCCTCGGTGCCGGTGCGTGCGCGAGTCCGGCCTTTGCAGAGCAGGTGGGGACAGGAACGGGGCGGGGCTTGGCTTTAGTGTTTCCTCCGGAGACCTGGTCGGTGCAGGCTTCCTGGGGGGGAAAAAAATCTCGGTCGGGGATTTTTATTAGCGTTTTAGACCGGAAGAAAGTCAAGTAAATTGCCTTTCGGATTCTAGCCGCCCAGAGGCAGCTTTTAAGAGGTCTCTCTAGGAATGGGGCCTATTCGGTCCTGTTAGAGCGCAGTAAGTGGTGCTTTGACACTTTTGTGGCCTTACTAATTCATTCGATCTGCAAACGTTTTTTAAGCCCTGCCATCTGCTAGGCCCTGAAGGTGCAGGGACCCCTATCTTCTACGGCCTGATGCACAGCAGTTAATAAACGATGCGCTTTTAAGGGCTATCGAAGCAAACCCCAAGATTGGGGAAGAGGGGTGGTTAAGATTGTCGCGCGTAAGCCTGGTCCAGGGAAGCCTTCAAAAGGTGATAACTAATAGAAGAAATTGTTTGCATTTTGGGTTAAATTATGAGAAGAATTAACACTGCACTGCTGCTTCTGCCAATACGCTCAGAAAGCTCCCAGACAGAAAAGAACCTATCAATAAAAATATAACAGGAAGAAATTCGTCAGGATTCTTTTACGTGTCTTCTTATGTTTGTCCACTGACCAAATACTGAAAATTACATTTCCATAGGGAGAGGTACGAGATAAAGGGAATAAGGATGCCCATACTCTTCTTAAAAGCAGCTGATGGAAAAAAAAAAAAAAGGCAACTGAAATCTTAACAGGTTAAGACAAAGTTTGTGAATTAAAACCATACATTAAAATCTCTTAAGAGTGGTACAAAGTACTGGTGAAATTCGAGTGCATTTGTTGGAGAGAGAAGCAGGGAAGGAATTGGAAAGATGAAGGGGAAAAAACGTAAGAAAATCAAGCCTTACTCTTCGACAAGTAGTTGAGTTTGGTTTTGTCTCATAAATTTGAGGTCTGATGACCATTAAATAGGTCTGGAGCCCAGGAGAGACGTCCAAACTACAGAATGGATGCTAATTGAAAGCAAGGAACTCTTTGAGACCACCAGGTAGAGTCTGTGGAATAGAAGTGATTGGATGATGGAAATTAAAAGAAGTACTCAAAAGATATTTAAAACCCCCAAGAATGTGGTATTACTGAAACCCAGCTAAGAGACCTTGCCAGTGGAAGTGATGATTGATCATTATTAAAGATAGGCAATATCCCTTGTAGACATACAATTTTATAAATGCCTAAATGTTTTGTACTCCTGTACAGCAAAGCATTAAAATACAGGGTTGGTTGTTTTTTGTTTTTGTTTTTTTCTTTTTTACAGATATGTTATTAATTAGATTAAATGACCCGGGGGATTAGTAAGGTTAGACTTCTGACATCCTCAGCCATCTGGATTATAAGATAAAACCTAGCAATAAAATGAGGGTTACAGCAGAGAGCTGTCAAAGGCCTGCCCACCCTATTTCCTCAAGCAGTAATTTTAGTCTTTTATCTACAAAGACTCACAGGACTGGAAATATTTCCATGGGAGATCTTTCTGTGGTGTACTCCCATTGAAGAAGGTGTATCAGAGCACAAGGAACAACTTCAATATCTACGTTTTAAAGTACATTATTTTCAAACTTTGAAGTAATAAATTGTTTCTCAGCACAGTGGTGACTTAATGACTCTTGAGTGTCACTCAGTCAGCCAGGTTGTTCCTTGGACAGGGACGATGTTTTGTATTCCTTATATTTTCTCCAGGACCTAGTACAGTACTGGCACAGAGCAGGCACATCTTCTAAATCTAAATTTTATTTTGACAAAGAATGTGATTGTCAGAACTTGGCATGTTTTTAACATTCCAAGAGGGACAGCTGGCAGCAGAAAAGACACTAATTTAAAGCAAGGTAGTTTCATCTGCTTTTGTACTTTTTTTTTTTACAATGGCATTCTGAAACCTTTTGGTGTTTGGGGAAGTATCATGAAAAAGCTCACCATTGTGTAAGCTCACCATCTTCTGCTCTTCGAGAGGAGAGGGAGAAGCAGGCTCCCAGTGGAGCAGGAAGCCTGACATGGGGCTTGATCCCAGGACCCTGAGATCACAACACAGACGCTTACCCAACTGAGCCACCCAGATGCCCCTCTCATGAGTATTTTATTTTATTTTTTTTTAATTTTTTATTTATTTTTTATGATAGTCACACAGAGAGAGAAAGAGGCAGAGACATAGGCAGAGGGAGAAGCAGGCTCCATGCACCGGGAGCCCAACGTGGGATTCGATCCCGGGTCTCCAGAATCGCGCCCTGGGCCAAAGGCAGGCGCCAAACCACTGCGCCACCCAGGGATCCTCTCATGAGTATTTTAGATGGCGATCTTGAATCTTCAGGAAAAATATTCAGTGGACCTGTTAATGAAAAAGTGCATAATAGACTTTTGAAATGTTTGCATACAAAGTAATTAACATTTTAAAAGTTTGCAAAATGCAGGGTTAGTTTGGTTACGTGAGAAGTTCGCTTATGGTATCTTTCATTGTCCAACAGTGTTAAGTGAAGCATCACTGTGTATTTATTGGCAGTATTTCACCACTATCATTTGGTAAGCCAAGGAATTTTAGTAAAATGAACTATAAATATTATACTTAAAGCAGATTTTAGATACACTTACAATTAAAAAACTCATATACTTATGGCATATACTGTATGTCTACATTATGTTCAAGCTTACAGTTTTGAAAACTTGTTTAAAATTTGATTTCTCTTCAACACTTTTATTTCATAGTAAGTTCTGGTCACTTTGCTCTTTCCTTAACATTCCCTGCAAATCCCATCTTGCTTGAAACAATAGATTAAAACCAGACTGGCAGTTGGGGAACGCTTTCTATTGCAACCATGTGTGTCAGAAGAAAGGATTAGGTTTCCTTGTCCAAGAACATCAAGGGGAACCTCCACCTCTGCAGACACACCTTTATTCCTCAGTAATGGAGAGTTTATACCTAGTTAGATTTAAATGGGATAAGGAAAGAGTTTAAATCCACTCTTAGCTCTAGTAGTATAATCACTCCTCAACTCTCAAAGTATCTAATTTTGTTTCTCTAATTTAATTCTAGGTGTCAGGTTGGTTTTAGATGCTGATCAAGGTAATGGAGAGTTGCCCTACACATTTATTCACTTAAGGAAGAATTTTGCAGACTGCAAAGACTAGATGGCATCTATGTTCAAAACTTACTTAAAGCACAGCCTGCTCACCTCTGACCTTTCCTTTATATTGAATATGTTTTTCAAATATAGAGGAAGAGATTCCATAGTGGAGGTAAACCTTTCTCTTCATAATTTGGGATAGGACCATGCTATCTTATACTGGACTCATTCTGAGGACCTAAATCAAAGTGAGACAGAGTCCACCTTTGAGTGAGATCACTTCCAAGCATCATTAAAGTATGCGGGAAACCATAATAAGGACTGGGAGATTGTTTCTTTTTTCCCCCCACCTTTGGCTTAATTCTAGTTCTGCCCCTCATCTCATAGTGGTGAAAATCATCCAAAAATACTAAGTACTTTGACAAAAATCACACAATGAATAAGAGCAGGATAGAACTATAATCTCCAGACAAGTGCTCTACATTAAGTGACACCACCAAAAAGCTGAAGTAGGTAAGGCTAGGGATGATCCAAGGTCAGGGTTTCACCTAAAGGCACATATTTGTATCATGCTTCCAAGTCAGAGCAACTAAGTGACTGATTTTTAAAGGGTTTTTGTACTCCTCTCTCCATCCCTAACATTAAAAGATGCTATCTTTCCCTAGCAGTTTTTGGGGAAGTGCTTGTTATACCATCTTCTTTGTGTGAGGATAATAATCAGGAGGCCTATCTGGTCTTTGGGAGAGGGGCTTGGGGGCTTAAGGGAGGCATTACTATCACTTTTTCCCTAGAAGATGCCATCTGGCAAAATTAAGAGACAGGCTGTGTGAGTGGCAAAATAGAATTTTTCTCAGAGCACCTTTTCCTTTTTTTTTTTTTTTTTTAAAGATTTTATTTATTCATGAGAGAGAGAGGCAGAGACACAGGCAGAGGGAGAAGCAGACTCCATGCAGAGAGCCCGACGTGGGACTCGATCCTGGGTCTCCAGAATTATACCCCGGGCTGAAGGCGGCGCTAAACTGCTGCACCACCGGGGCTGCCCAGAGCACCTTTTCTTTAAAATTAAGTGCCAACGCCATAGTTTTTTCCAGATTCAACTTTTTCCTTTAAGGACTATCTTTCCCACTTCACAATTGTGGATGGGAGAAAGTGAGAAAGGTGGAGAGAGGGCAGACATAGGTGGATAATTTGCATGTATTGATCTTCAGAGAAATGACTCCATTCTGTGTAGAGTACTTAGTGTGGGGTACCAGATAGAGGACTGATTGTATGGGGATGGTGTTGGCCCTAGGACTCCTGTTCATATTTTGTATTTTCTCCCTAGGCTTTTTTTTTTTTTTTCCAAACTGCTGTTTCAATATCAGAGTACAAGTCTTCAAAGAAGACAGAGAATTGCTCCATAAGTGTGGATCCAGAATGGGGGAAATAATTTTCTAGACATGTAGGAGACTACTTTCAGTATTCCATTTCCCCATGGTTCACCCTCAGTCTTAGGACATATGTTCCATGGAAGAAATGGAGCTTAGAAATTAGCAAATTAAAGTTTTGGAAGAGATTTTACTTTGTTGTCTCTCTTTGCATGCTGTATCTGTTCTAGAAGGTATGGTCCTGAAGACAAAATCTGTGTGTTACCTGTACACTTACTCTATTTTTAAATCACCACCCTTTGCTCCCAGCTGCTTCATAATGGGTGAACTGGCTTCCCAATTCTGAGTTTATGTTTTACAAAAAGAATTAGGTCTCAACAAAGTTTCTTGGAGTGTCTTTTAGATAGGCTCTTTTCTGTTTTGTCTGTGTAATCAAACTCCATTAGATCCCTTCCCACATTCTGTCCCTGTGGTGTGATGCTAGGAATAACTGAAAGTGAGACACCATGTTTAGATCTTGATCTTTCTAACAAACACCATGAAAAGGTATCTTGATGTGTCTAAAACAAGAGAGCATTAACCTCAGTGTCTCAGTCAAGTCCCATCTTAACCAGTTAGATTCTGTTGGACTTTTCCAAAACCCACGGACAAGTTACAATCAGCTGTAATTTTCTTCACTTTTTGTCCTTAATAAGTAGAAGTGAGCATGAACTCAGAGAAGATTTGCATGCAGCCCCGTTAGTGATCTCAGTGAACCATTTAACCTTCATGTGCCTCTTTTTTTCCATATCTGTAAACTGAGTAAAATTAGAAGGAATACAAAGAAAATGAAAACACCATTTCGAAAAGATCATCTGTACTCCCCTTTTTATTGTAGCATTATTTACAGTAGCCAGGATATGGAAGCAAAGTGCCACCTAATGGACAAATGGATAAGGAAGATGTCACACACACACACACACACAGGAATATTATGCAGTCATAAAAATGAGGTCATGCCATTTGAGACAACATGGATGGATCTAGGATATATTATGCTAAGTGAAATAATTCAGACTAAGAAAGACAAATACCATATGATTTCACTCATGTAGAATCTGTAAAAAAACAAATGAATAAATGAAAAGCAGAAACAGGCCTATAAATACAGATAACAAGCTGATGGTTGCCAGAGGGGAAAAGGATAGGAGGATGGGCAAAATGGGTGAATAGGAGAGGCAGATAATAGGCTTCTAGTTATACCACAAATAAGCCAAGGACATAAAAGCCTAGCATAGGGAATATAGTCAGTGATCCTATAATAATGCTGTATAGTTACAGATAGTATCTGCACTTGTTGTGAGCATAGCATAGTGTAGAGAAGTTCAATCACTTTGTTGTACACCTGAAACCAATATAGCACGGTGTGTCAACCATACTAAAAAAAACTAAAATAGAGCTAGTGACGTTCAGTACAACTCTTGAGGTTCTAGGAACTAGTTTCTGTTTTGTCTCAAATTAGATTCATTTAGAGATGCAGACATAGATAGTAAAGTCAGGATCCACATTTCAGAGCACATCTCCTGACCCCATGTCCATAGCAGATACTGACATGCAGATACTGAGAATGGGCCTCAAAAATTTCCCCAGACTGCTCCAGGCAGCTACTTTTAACCACATAAAATGGGCCCTACTTGTCATCCTGTCACAGCAGGGTTAGGTTGAAGAAAAGCAGGAAATATGAAACTTTTCTCACCTAACTGTGACCATGAAATGGCTTTCCACATATCTTTTTTAGAGAGAGAGAGCACACGTGTGAGCATGGGGAGGGGTAGAGGGAGAGAAATATAAGCAGGCTCCATGCTCAGTGTGGAACCTGATACGGAGCTTGAACTCACAATGCTGAGGTCATGACCTGAGCCAGATCAAGAGTTGGATGCTTAACTGACTGAGCCACCCAGGCACCCCACCACATAGCTTTCCAAAGAGTAAGCAAGAAGAGTATCTTGACCCATTTTCATTCTTTCTAGCTATTTTAGGTGGCAGTTCACTTAGTTCCCAATCATACTGCTTTTGTTATTTCTCAGAAATATACTCAGTATTTTATAGTTGGCAATCACAGTGATTTATATGACAGCTGCTAACCAAGAGTTCTACAAGAGGGTTATCTAGCAGGTGCTGTGACCTTAGGAGAGGAAAGTAGTCAGTATCCACCCACAGCCTGGCAGGTGTGAGGAATGAGGTGAGGGAGGTGATGGCATAGGGGCAATAGCCCTGTCTCCCTCTCCTCCCATCCTCTGATCTCATCTTTTGGTTCCTCCCATTTGCTGAACCACAGGACAAAGGAACATAATTTATCTGGTCCATAAAGATCAGTCCTCCCCCCACTCCCATCTCCCAGAAGCACAGAACAGTCTGCAAAATGAAAATATTCTGTACAGAGCTACTATCCATTTACAGAACAAGAAATAGAACTCTGAAAAAAATGATAAAAATCTAGATCTTATTAGAATAACTTTCTACCCAGGCACTGCATTTGAAGGTGAGACTAT